AGGGGACTTGGAAACCCTAAGCTCCACCCTCCCCTTTTCTGTGCCCTTGTGCCATAGCCAGTTCCTGTACTCCATATCCACACCCTGACTTAAACCACCTGGGCCTAGATAGCCATTGTTCCCTTGCCCAAACCTGCCTGTTACCTCTGTTGCTCTGTTGCTGAGGCTACCATGGCTACACTCTCCTGCTCCCAGTCTCACCCTGCTCCACCCAGGTGAGTCTTGCTGTTGGGCCCAGTGTCCTGCCCTGCCAGGCGAGTCATTGACAGGTAACTTCCCACACACACTGTACAAGGTGTATCACTCAAAAAGTTGAGACAAGAAGTATATAGACCTGAAAGATGGCTAAAACTGAAACTCTCTTGGATAGGAAAGACAGCAGGGATTAAAAGGGTGGTTTTCCCCACATTCTTATTCTTCCTTTTTGCAACCCCTAAGCAATAAATTGATATGAGCTTAGAAACAGCTAACATTTAATGGACACTTTTTACAAGCAGGGATTTAGCAGTTCTTAATATTCAGTTTAGCTATTGTCATTGCATTACTAAGGCCCCTGCCACACGGGGGGGGGAGGAGCACGACCAAAGTGTGGCTTTTTAGAGCCGCACCAAAAAAAAAAGACACACTGCGGCGGGATCAGATAGATCCCCTGAGCCGCTGCGCAGTTCCTCCCCGGCACAATCAGATGCCGGGGGGGGGAGCTAGTGAAGGGAGAGTGAGGCAGCCGGCTGTGCATGTGTGCACATGCGCAGTTCGGCCGGGAGCCTCAATTGCTCCTGCAGACGGGTGCGCCGACGATCTCACAGCCGCGCTTGATGCACCGTTTCGGGTAAGTCCTGCTCTTTTGCAAGTTCTTTTTTCATGCGCATTTTCGGCCTGAAGGGCCGGATTGGGGCCGGGTGCACGCCGCTTCCCAGATGTTGTGGTGTGATCGTGCCCATTTGCTGCACCCCCAATCCGTCTCTCTTCCGGCCCTAAACCTCCCATGTGACAGAGCCTAAATTGGTTTAGACCTTGTAGGAAAGTATTTACTGGCAGGGTGAACAAATTGGTCTTAATATACTTAATTTTTGGATGTGTTTCAAAAAGAGTGAACAGCACACTTTGGCTCATAATGAAATTTCATAACAGAAATGTCTATAATCTCAGTTTGTGTAAGTATACAAAACAGTACTTGGGATATACCCTTGATGTCTATTCTTTATAATGATGCCTTAAAAGAAATGTGGTAGATTTGACATTGGTTTACATTTCAATTAGATCAGCCTAATAGATATCTTTTTCAGCCAGACAATGGAAATTTTGGTAAGAGTCTGTATTTTTCTCCCTCCTAGCCTTTCGCGAAGACGAGAGTAACATTTCCCCCTGTGTATCTAAGCAGAGGCACACACTTCTAAGCCCATTCACTTCAGTAGACTTAGAAAAGTATGAAACTATTGCTGATTTATATGCTTTATATTTACTTCATTTATACCCCATACACTCTAACAGAGGTCATTTCGTAGAAAAAGAGGTGCAGGAGCTCATTAGCATAACTCATTAGCATAGCTCATTTGCATATGTCACAGCCCCTGATATCACCGGAAGTGTGTCAGAAGGCAACACCCACCGCTCAGGCTCCACTGGACTGTTTTGGATTGCTAGCTATTGGGGGAAAGGGGGGACACGCAGATCTGCCCTGGCAGAGGAGGGAGAGCTTGTACCTGAATAAAACTTGGTTTTAAGGGTGCCACTGGACTGTTTTGGATTGCTAGCTATGGGGGGGGGCTGCACTCTAAAGTGAAATTAGGACCATATTGGGCAATGGCTGATTCACACAGACACCCTTTGGTCCCCTCTCCCCATGCTGTAGTGCTCAGTGGAGGAAGCCTATAGTCAGCCAGCAAACCATGGCAGGAACCTTAACTGCTTACCACCCATTTCTGCTTTTCAAAAATAAAGAAAGGAGGCAGCACGGAAGGTTCCATTCATGACCAGAAGTTCATAGCAGCATCTTCACCACTACATTCCTTTCATATCGTAAAAATGTTCTAGATGCATGCCAGAAAGCTTGATTTTGACCCAATCTACCATTACAGAGTGATTTTCCTGACATCCACAGCACATCTGGAAAATTAACCAGCTATTACTTGGTTTTATAATGAACCGAGAAACAGTTGTTGCAGACACTGGGCCCAATATGACTACACCATACTGAATCTCAAAACTGGAAGGGCTTTTCAATTGGAATGACAAAATGCCCTCTCCACAGGAACATACCCTAATATTGCATTAATTGTGACTAAGCTCTGTTCATGGACACATTTTCGTTTTCAGAAGCTCTTTGGATGGGCACAAGCCATGATGGACTAAGCTTTCACCCTAGAGACTCCATCTTGTCCATGAGGCAGGGAACAATGTGGAGGAGTCCCAACCTAGAGCTCTATTGTAAATCTAACATTGCAACTACGAGTAAAGCTAGACTGTCCTGAATCAAACATCATTTAGGAAGTATTTAGAGAAGAGAAAGAGGACTGTGTGTTTTCACCTTTTCTGTGTTTCCTTGCTCATCCTGAAAGCTTGAAGAGAACATGTGTATTCATTTATTCATTTATTAAGCTTTCTTATCTTTTGAACCCTCTAAGTCTGATTTCTGGAAACTTGCCACACCTTATTTGGTCTTCCTAGCTAAACTGTGGTAATGGGGAAGGGCAGCAGAGGAGGTTGCCATATCTGGAGCACGATAGCTCAGAATTGTGCAGTTGACTTCCCTGCACTTGCTTGTAGAAACTTAGTGGGAGGAACAGCAACTAGGTAGGGCCTCTAAACAGCAATGAAGTATGACTCCGTCTGGCAGGAGATACTCCTAAGAGTCATTAGTGACAGTTGGTGGTTACTCAGTTTGTAATGGGCATAAACTAGTATGGCGTGTTAGATGTATCTCTCCGTCTGTCAAGAGATACTCCTAAGAGTCCTTGGTGGCAGTTGGTGGTTACCCAATTTGTAATTGGCACCTTGGGGAGTGAGAGGAAGGAGTGTGTTGCCAAGTGAAGACTTGGGACTGTTGGTCAGAGTAATTAACACAGCAATGGTGCACAACCTGATAAAGAGTAGATAAAGGTTTATTTAGGAACTAACATACTTGATAGGAAAGAGGAGAGACAGATACAGGTTCCTAACTACATCTCTAGCTGAGAGAGAGAGAGAAAACTGAGCAAAGAACTTCTGAGAAGAAGGGGGAAATTGCCCTAAAACTAGCAATCTAGAGACAGACAAGGAATGACACTTAACAGTAGGGAGAAGCCACTGTCCTCACCATCTTATCTAATTGTCATGTTGCCCCCTTCAGGGTCTTCGTCTCTTCTTCTTTGTACACCAGACATTGCCTTTTCCCAACACCTCTTCTCAAGGTCTAATGTACAAAGTTCACAAGATTCATCTTCTTACACATCTTTCAAACTTCCCTTGAGAAATTGTCTTAGTGAGTGTGTCTGCAATCATTTCATCTGTAGGACAGTGTTCCAACTCAACAAACTATTCTTCTTGCATGTTTCTTTCTAGGTGATGCTTCACATCTGTGTGTTTCATTCCTGAGTTGATCTTCTCTCTCTGCACAAGTTTTTTACTGGTTTGGGTTCCTCTATCCCACAGTCTTGCATTAGTTGCAGGATCCATTTCAGTTGTCTGCATGCTTCTGCTGCAGATACATATTCAGCTTCAGTTGAGGATACAGGTACAGTTTCTTGTTTCCTACTGTTCCAGCTGACTGCTCACACACCATAGAAGAATAAGGGTCCACTGGTTGACTTTCTGTCTGGAGTATCTCCTGCCCAGTCTGCATCTATGTATCCCACTAGTCTGGGATTGTCACTTATTGACAACTTTCATTTCAGATGTGCAGTGCCATGCAAGTACCTTGCAAGTCTTGCATTCCAGGCCATTTTGTTTGGTGATTCTGTCTTTCTGCATAATATGCCCACAATTGCTGTGATGTCAGGATGTGTCAATGTGCTTATGTACAGCAGTCTTCCAATTGCTTCTTTGTATTGCTTGTTGTCAGGCAGAAGTTCACTACTTCCTTACTGATTCAGGTAGTTCATTACCATAGGAGTGCTTGCTGGCTTAGCTCCTTTCACATTCATGTAGTCCAGAAATTCTAATATTTTCTGCTTCTGGTTAACAAGATAACCTCCATCTTCCTCTCTATTTGTATTCCAAGATAGTTGAAACAAGGACTATTGATATTAAGCAACAACTAAAAGAAAAGAAGAAAAGAAATACAGATAAAAACCAACTACTTCAACTTCAGCTTGATAAATCTATGCATGTTCTACGCTTCCAACGAGTTCCTGAAGGGAGAAGACATAAATACAACAATAAGTGGAGCAATAGCTTTAATTTCAGACCTTAAACAGGAGGATCTACAAAGTGACATGGACTTGGCATACCGTACTTACCCTGATTTTATAAGAAAAAATAAACTGCCTGGCGAAATTTACATTAAATTCTCAAAGAGAACAATGAGAGACAATGTTTTAAAAGCTACTGCGGGAAAAACACTTAAAATCAATGAAGAAGAAATTAAAATTCTGAAAGACATTCCATTTGAGATCCGGAAACGAAGACGACAGTATAAAGACTTAATTATTTTCCTACAAGACAAAGCAATAACCTACAGATGGAGCTTCCCAGAAGGAATCGTGTACAAGAAAGTTAAAATTGACTCTGTCCAAAAGGCCAAAACCTTTTTGAAAAAACAATTGGCCATAGATAAAGATGAGGACCTTAATCTGGAAGAAGGAGAGGAACTCAGTGAGGAAGAATCGGATAATTCTTCAAGTGATTCCAGCAGTTCAACATCAGAGTCTGAAAAAGGAGAAGCACCCAAAACTCCAAAAGTGAAGAAGCCCAAGAGATCAAAGTTTTCTTTTATGGATTATAATATTACCTGACTTAAGCGAATTAAGCTATAATCGATAGAAGTTTGATCTCTCTGCTTTTATAATTCTATGTTTATCATAATATCAATATTATTGCAAGAGTGATGTATGCATTTGTCAGCTTACAAATATTCTTGTTATAAGTTAGTGATAGGTTTCCCCCCTGTACCCTTACCTTTAGAATGTAGAATATAGTTTATAAAATCAATAAAATATTATTTTTTTTAAAAAGGACATTTCATATTAAATCAGAATTAAAGATAAATAATGAACACTACTTTGAATAGCCAAGTGGGCCCCCATCATTAGAATGAAAGCAACAAAACTGCATATGGAACTCTCCAGGTATATAAAAAATACAGTTTTGTAAATCAATGGGGGGGGGGGAGCATGAGGACTCCAGGAGGCCTGGAGTTTTGAGAGTAGCTGAGAGCCAGTCAAAGGAAAATAGGAGACAGAGATATGGGCTGCTCAAGAGGTTAGAGAATTAAGGAAGAGTGATTCAAGGAGATCGTGTTTTCCAGGCTGTGATTTTGGCTTGTTAAAATGTAATACAAAAATATTTTGGGAGAAGCAAACCCTCAACTACGTTCCCACCTACGAGGTGGGGACACAATTATAATTAGATTTATAATTGGATCTACTCCATCTGAATAATTATGAATTGTTACTTATGAAATTGTTTTTATTTATGGAATTGTTGTTATCAGTTTTTAATCGCTGTGTGGACATTATATGTGTTTATTGTTGTTCAATGCTCAGAGCCCTGAGTACTCAGGGATTGAACGATTTATAAATCTAATTTATAAATAAATAAGTAGGTGACCTAAAATGAGGCATGATCGAGAGGCAAAAATGGAGAAAGGCGAGAGGGATACCTTTTTCATGTATACCACATGATCAAAGATATGACTCCCACTGCAGCCTGAAGTGAAACAGCACAGAATTCTATGGTCCCTGTCTGCCAGTTGATTCTGCATAATATTTAGAATAGCTATCCGTCCCACTGAAATCAGTGAAACTTTGTACAACTAAATGCTATTTCATTGCTTTCAATGATGTCTATGGCAGTTTACCTGGGGGCCAAAATAAATGTGACATGCTATAGTGTCTCATATCTAGGTGTTGTTGTTTTTTAAATGTGTTGGGAAGCTGAGATTGGGAATGGAAGAGTAGCAGGTGAGAGGGCAGGGAGGGGGATTGCTTAACCCTTTCCATTTCTCTCTTGTCATCTGTCCATTCAACAGCCATCCTTCTCAGCTACTTTTCTTTGTGTCATATCTAGTTTGGTCCTGAGTTCTATTGAATTTGTATCCCTATGAGTTTGATCCAACCAGGTTTTCACTGTTGAAAAGAAGGAAGTGGTCCTTTATGACCACCAAAAAAAAAATGACAAAAAACATGCAAAATGGGGGGGGGGGTTTCCTAAGGAGAGGAATTATGTGAGATTGAGTGGGAAAGCTGGCTGGGTCCCGCCCATAGAATTTTATTTCAGCTTTTTCATAGTAGTTTTAGTTTGTGCTCACAATGAAACTGTTCTGTTTCCCAAATTGTCTTTTATGTTTTTGCTTTGATGTATAAATCTTCTTCCTCAAATCTCAGCAGCAATTAAGAACTTTTAAAAGTATCATCCCTAGCAGTTGGAGAACTGTAACAATATTTACATGAAATTCATTGTTATGTAAATAGTTGAGATAAGAATCTATAAAGATTTTACCCAAACAAACCTTGTGGAATATTAATGATTCCATCAAGTAAATCACAGTTAACTTAATACTTTTTTCTTTTTTTCTGAGACCCAAACAGATCGCTGCAGATGCAGATCTAGCTTGTGAACAAGCTCATTACTATCTTTGTATCAAAGCACAAAGCAGATGGAATGACCTAGCCATGGTAAGCTCTAGTTTTGAAAAATAATAATCCTTCTCTAAATCACTTTTGAGAACTTCACATAGTGTTTATCTTTGATGATACTTTTTAAAAACAGCCATTTAGCTACAATAAAAAATAGTCATTAATGGTCAAAACTTAATGATAAGTTTAAGAATGCTGTATAACTCCCTCTTCAAGCCCCTGGCTTGAATGCTGCCTGGAGCCTTTGTGGGGGGGGGGGGGGGGGGGGAGTTTCATGGATCTCTCCATCCCACAACTGCTCAAAACACATCCTCAAATGCTGCTCCTGGGGGGCAGAGGGCATTTGGCAATATCTTAGGGAGGGATGGAGGTCTCCAATGGGAGGGGGGAGTCGGGGAAAACCACACACACCCCTTGTAGCCATGGGAATCTAGGCTGGATTGAAGCCTTAATTTGGAGGTACTCTTTCTTAGAGTTACCAGACTCCCAGTATAGTGGGACACATCCTGATAATTACCTTTGATGCCTGCGGGTGCCTTGGGCATCAGTGAAAGAACTGGAGAGCCAGTTTGGCTAGGAGTGTGAACTCTAATATGGGAGAACCAAGTTTGATTCCCCACTCCTCCACATGCAGTTGCTGGTGTGACCTTGGGTCAGTTACAAGTTCTTTCAGAGCTGTTCTCTCAGGAACAGTTCTCAAAAGAGCTCTCTCAGCCCCATCTACCTCACAGGCAGAGGCGGGTTAAGACTCACTGGTGCCCTAAGCACTGACCAATCTTGGTGCCCCCCTCCTTTCCACACTGACCCAGTCCATTTTAGTTGTTGACCTGTCTGACCAGATATACAATGCAGGTTGCAGCAATACAAACATTTATTCATATGATAACACAATATACTGTACAAACTAAGCTTTTCACCCTTTTTCCAACTTTGTGGTGCCCCCTTTGCCCCTGGTGCCTTAAGCACGTGCTTAGTCTGTTTAATGGTTAATCTGCCCCTGCTCACAGGGCATCTGTTGTGGGGAGGGGAAGGGAAAGGTGATCAGAGACTCCTTCAGGAAGCGAAGGGCTGGGTATAATTCCAATCTCTTCTTCTAAAATGGAGGAGATGAGAGCAATGTATGCCATTTTGGGTTTGTACTGGGGAAAAGGATATTTATTCAGCGGTTCAAGGTGGGGCAGTCACAACTCATGGGTAGAAACTCCTCCCTAAAGGCAGGGAGGATCATCATTTTTTGCTGACTCCTAATGAGTGGGGTTTTCTCTCTCAGTCCCCAGTGTAGGCCCTGTCTAGCTTGCAGACAGGTGATTATTTCATTGCAGAAACTCCTTTTTCTTCACATTCTTTTAAAAAAAAATTATTCTCCTCTCTGCCTTTCCTTAGGGGCTTATACATCTATCACTGCAGGACCAAGGTTAGGGGCACATTTCTGGCATACCTTCACTCCAGGGTTCTCTTCCTGGGAGGGGAGGAATGTGGTAGGGACTCCATGCTATGGCCAAGAGCTTCCCCAGTTGCTCCCTCTAAACAGCAGAGGGCAGTTGGTAGCTGCACCCATTCCTCAAGACCGGAGAAGGAATACTCTTTCCACCCAGTCTGGGTTTGGCTGGGTTTGGAGCTTCAAAAGGCTCACCCCATTACTCTGGTTTGCTAGGAGCCTGCAGCTGAGTTTTCCCTCTTGCGTCCTTTGTAGTCCAGAGCAGTAAGCGGGGTGTTTGTCAAATTCAGTGAGACCAAGAGAGATGAGTCCCTAATGGTATTCCTTTGGGGTCAGGGAGAGAAGATGGCAGCGTGAGCCAGCCTTGCTTATTTTGGCACACAGCAGCAAGAGGGAGGACCTCCTTTATTCCCCCCTCTTCAACCAAGAGCTCTTACTCATGGCAGCTGAGGTCCCCTTCCTGTGTGCAGGGGTCATTGCGTAGAAAAAGAGGTGCAGGAGCATATTAGCATAACTCATTAGCATAACTTATTTGCATATGCCACACCCCCTGGCATCACCAGAAGTGTGTCAGAAGGCAACACCCACCGCTCAGGCTCCACTGGACTATTTTGGATTGCTAGCTATTGAGGGGAGGGGAACGTGCAGATCTGCCCTCACGGAGGAGGGAGAGCTTGTACTTAAATAAAACTTGGTCTTGAAGGTGCCACTGGACTGTTTTGGATTGCTAGCTATGGGAGGGAGGGGAACATGCAGATCTGCCCTCACAGAGGAGGGAGAGCTTGTACCTGAAGGCGGGCCAGGGGGGGCTCTGCAACTTACCTGGCTGCTTCTTGCTCCTCGTGGCCTGACTGAGGGCTGCTGGGAGCAGAGGGTGGGGCTTGTTTCATGTGCCCACCCCCTGGGCTCCTTACTGCCGGAGCTCTGCTCCTGTGCACTCCCGCAGGAAATGACCCCTGCCTGTGTGTGTTGTAGAGAGCATACCCCATTGCTGGATCCAGACTGGGAGATCTCGGACCAGTCAGACATCTCCTTGACCAGGGATGAGCGACAGCTCTCTGAGGAAGAAGGGCTGCTGGTGATATGCATGCATGCTTGCCTTTTTCCTCAGGAGGAAGTCCCCCCCTCCAAACTGCTGCCTAAGGTTCTCCATATCCTGGAGATTCCCCAAAACAAAAACAAAAAACCCAGAAGAGATTGATCTGACAAAGCCCATGGGTTCAACCAGGTCCTTCCCAAACGTGGAGGCCTCTTCCTGCAGTTCTCCCTTCCATTTGGTTTTTGACAAAGTTGTCAAGACAGAATTGGAGGCTCCTGTAAGGCCAATCACCAGTCATCTCCCAGCTCTATTCCTTAGCTCCAGTGGCAGTGGAATGATTTAAACTCCCAGTAGTTAACGCTCCAGTAGCAGACTTGACCTCTAACACTGTGTGGCAAAACTAAGCATCTCCCAGGCAACCTGTTGCAAGCTGGGTAAGGGCCTAGATTCCATTGGTCCTGTAACCCCACCCCAAGTGCATGCCAAACTCTTAGGTCTCTTCTGCAAGAGTCATTTATTCTGACTTCCACACATATAGGAAGAGCAATCCATCCTCAGTATTAGGCAGGTATTGAACTTGGAGGTCCCATATAATTGCTGGAAATCTATGCAGAAGCTGACACCACCAGCTGGTTTTGAGACCAGCACTGGCAGGCTCTGCCAAGGGCTGTCAGACTCTTCTGTGATGCCCACATAACCCATTTCCTCCATCTCCCGCTGCACTACCTATTCCACAAACCAAGGAAAGATTAATGTGGTATGTGTATAAGAGGTTCCTTATGTTGGATTGCCAGATTTCGTAGTCCACAGGCACCACCCTTTCCATCTATATATATAAAAGAAAGTACCCTCACCGTAAAATCAATGCCCAGGCCAAACCGCTGGACCTAGAAACACCAAATTCAGGGAGAGCGCTCCTACCGTGATGTACGTGCTCACTAAGAAGGGATTTTTAGAAATTCAACCCCTAAGTGGGTCAAAAGGGGTAAAATGTTCTCCCCCCATTGATTCCTATGCAGCTGCCAGGCGTCTGCCTCTTTGCACTCCCCACTGTCTGATTGGTCAGCTGCAGAGCTCAGTGTTCTGAGGTTAAAAAAAAGCCAACAGTTACAGGAGACTGCAGACAGCTAATGACAGCTGAGGAAATCAGGAACGGCCAACAACCACCTGTGAGGTGCAGTAATGCTGCTGGCCCAGCCTCTCTGATTGCTTCCAACACACTCCCCCCACCTCCTACACCTAACAGGCGGTTGTCTGTCAGGTGCAGCAGCGGTTGCAGGGTCCTTAAAGCCCCAAGGGAGCCTGCCCCAGTAGTAATGCCTTAGTGATCCTGCCAGCCCAGCCTCCACAGTGGCTTCTAATACTCCCCCCCCTACAATGGACAGGCAGCTGCCTGTCAGGTGTAGGAGAGGAGGTGGGATGCTTACAGCCACCAGGGAGGTTTGCTCAGCAGGATTGCCTTAGTCCTGCTGCTGGCCCAGCCTCTCCAATGCCTTTAAATACAATCCCCCCCGACACCAGACAGGCGGGTTCAGTTCAGTTTATTCGGTATATCACCAGCCCAATTACAGACAATACAAAAAGGGTACCAATAATATATATAAAATATTTAAATATAAAACTGTGTTTAATCTGTGTATGTTAATTACAAAACTCTAAATTTCTACAATACTCTGTTATTCAACTGTTGAGTAAGTATTAATTTTAAAACTTGTTTTGCAAAACCCCACTATTTAATTGCAACTGGTGTTGTTCTAACTGGTATGGTATTTATTAATTGTTTTAACTTGGTTTTTTATGCCATTTTAATGTTGTTAGCCGCCTTGAGCCAGATGTCTGGAAAGGCGGGATATAAATATAAGCAATAAATAAATAAATAAAATAAAATAAAACTATTTCCCCACCATTCCAATTTAGGGAGGCACATTTTATGGGTGCGGAGGAGGGGAGGTCTGGGACCAGCCAGGGTTAAAATATAGAGTTCTGCAAACTCAAGGGACTCCAGTTTTGCAGAAATATTAACACACATAGCCTCCTAATGTGGAGTTCCAATGGAATAATAGCAGAACAAGTGCAGAAAAGGATACCCAAAATTATTATCTTAAACCACCCTGTACATACAAACCTGAGACCCTGGAGAGCCACTGCCACTCTGAGTAGACCGGGGGTGGGGAGAGGCTTGCAATGCTCGGCCATTTCATGTTCTTCCCCTGAGTCCTAGGCTCAGACCATTTATATTTGTAGGTTATATTTTTAAGGGTGGTGGTGGAAGGTTTTGGACTAACCACAGTTAAAATAGATTGTTCAACAAACTCAAGGCACTTCAGTTTTGCAGATAAATATTATTTTTAACACACCCTCCTAAAGTGGAGCTCCAATAATAATATCTTTAATTGTGTTTGTGTCCTTTATAATTTTTATATCGCTGCTACCTGGCATTACATTTTATGACACACATGGCCCAGACTGACAAAGTCCAAATTATGTCAAATCCGGCCCTCATGAGTTCGACACCCCTGCTCTAAGGGGATCTGCTACCTCAGCAGCCTATAGGGCTTTCCTTTTTGCTGTTAGCAGTGCACCAGATAGCCATGTGGAAGTCAGTGCACACCTTTACTCAGCACTACCATATTGATAGGAAGGCTTCAGTGGATGTTTCTTTCAGGAGGGGAGTCCTACAATGGGTTCTGACAGGATAATTAAAGTGCCCTTCTTGGGGTATACGGCTTTTGTACATCTTATGAGTTGTGACTGCCTCAGCCTGGACCACTGGATAACGGAAAGTTTATTACCGTGTTCCCTTCCCAGTGGTCCTAAGGAGTGACAGTCAATCCCTCCATACTGTCAGAGTCCCAGTGGGAGAAAGTTGGTGGATGGCCTGTGTCTCCTGTTCTTGACTGTTCTTTCTGTTCTTAGTTCTTTGACTGTTGGAGTTAATAAGTTATAAGTTTTAGTGATGGGAGTAGCATGGCTTATGGACCTGAGGATTGAAGGAGAGGACCCACCCTCTAGGAATCAGCAAAAGATTGACAATCGTGCCTGCCTCCAGGGAGGAGCTTCTACCCATTGGCCTGATCCAACATTGGCATCACTTATGTTCTTATGTTCTTAATGTGTGTGTCAATAGCTTGTATAATTGACCCATACTTGACACATTTGGAAGCTCTATGAGCAGCATTAATCCTGCCCTATCCAGCTCCAATTCCTACTGCTAGCAATGTCTGTCAGTAAAGTACTGTGCATTTTCATTCTTAGTCACTGTTTGTGACAAGTGAGTGGTGTATTCTGCCCCCCATCCTGAGAGGACCTTTGTTCTTATTCTATAGCTGCTAATAAACTTGTGAGCCTTTGATGAGGGGCTTTGTCAAAAACGTTTTGGAAGTCCAAGTATATAGTCCTCAAGACTGCAGAGAAAGCACTGTGGAAAAAAATTAATTGTTTCTATTAATGGCATCTCATGTTTTAGTTTTTCCATGAATACGATAGCGATGGAAATAACATCGTTCTGAAAAAGGATCTGAAAAATGTCCTGTACAGATGTGGTATTCCCATAAATCCAAAAGAATTTGAAAAACTCTGGGCAAGGTAAGACGGTTGCAGTAATATGATTTTTTTTTTTAAACTTAGCTTTACCTATAGACCATGGAACCTGATGCTAATTGGAAAGTTTTTATACCAGGATCTCTTCACTATAAAGCTTAACCACTGATTTCAGACAAAAAAATACTAGCAAGAGTGATATGAGTGTGAAAATAACCAATTCTACATGATTTCTGTCTAATTCTATGTTCACATCCTCATTATTCCTACTTTCCAAAAATTTCCTATAGTGTTGAGTGTTCTTTGACGCAATTTGGTGTAGTAGTTAGGAGCGCGGAAGTCTAATCTGGGAGAGCCGGCTTTGATTCCCCACTCCTCCATATGCAGCTGCTAGTGTGACCTTGGAACAATCATAAGTTCTCTCAGAACTGTTCTCTCATGAGCAGTTCTTGAAAGAGCTCTCTCAGCCCCACCTACCTCACAGGGTTTCTGTTGTGGGCAGGGGAAGGGAAAGAAGGGGAAGGAGCAGGACAGGAAGACAGGCAGCGGGGAGAAGAGGCGGGAAAGGCTTTTGTTATAGCCTCCCAGTAGAAGCAGGGGGAAGGGAATTGGATACAGGTCAGTTGGGATGGGGCCAGAGAATCTCATAAAAGGAAAGGCACCACACCCAGACAATGAAGAAAGGAAGGACTGAGCTAAAGAGGCAGCTGAGAGAGAGAGAGACAGAGACCGATTTCACACAAGAGCTGCGCCATGGTCACGCCTCCCTTTGCCCCGCTTCTATTAGTTAATTTCCCACTCGAAGCCGTGTGGCTGTGTTTTGACCCGCAGCTTCGCCCGATTTAGTCTGACCCACCCCGTGATAGTCTGACCCACCCCGCGGTTTTGTGATCTTGTTTTTTTGAGGATTATGAAACCGCGGGGAAAATCAGGCGAAGCCATGGGTCAAAACGCAGCTGCGCGGCTTCGAGTGGGAAATCAACCAATAGAAGCAGGGCAAAGGGAGGCGCAACCGCGACGCGGCTCTTGTGTGAAATCGGTCAGAGACAGAGCCAAGAGGAAGCCAGTCCTGGGAAGGAAGAGGACTTCAGTGGCATAACCCCCTCTCCTTCCCATTCTGAAGCATTGGGGGAGGTGGCATGACCTCAAACAGAAAGGCAGAGGGTGAAAAACCCATGGCAGGGTGGGAGGAGGCTCACACTCCCAAACCAAGACATGACAGAGCATTATGTCTGAAAACTGCACTTAGGGAGAAAGCTTTGTCTGGCACTGCTTCTGACAATCATTCAAGCACTAGACACACACGTCCCAATCAGTTAAACAAGTATAAAGCCAACAGTCGTGATAGTCTGACCCACAATCAAACAGTCATAAGACTTATAAAGAATACTGTTTATGTATTGCAATCTAAAGCACTACAACATAATGCACAACTCAATAGAAAATCCTTTAACCAAGGTACATAATCAATTTCGTCTCCGGATTACATAGCAACGTTTCAAAAAATGGATCTTCTTCAGGAGATATTCTGTAGTGTACAAAAATACAGTTTTTAGAATATGTGCTACACCAATAACAAGAGACAAGAGACAATACAATAATCTTAGTGCTTACTTACATAGTGGTGCCAAAGTCCTCAGTTTCATAAATGTTAGACAACAAGTCTTAAGAATCTGTAATATTACCTTTGTTATGAACACATACAAGATATTTCAAATTACAACTAATCAACCTAGTAGTAACTTACATTAAATTCAGATAGGACGCTGATCTCAATTAACATTCAAGCTCAAAATATGCTGCTATGTTTCTACTGGATCCCGGGCGTCTCTCTCTGGTGATTGCTACCAGTGTGCAATTAAAGGGACCTTGCAGATTGCTAACAAGTGGTGGGTAGTAGGAGGCAGTACATTTAAAGAAAACATCATATAGTTTACAAAAACATCATATAGTTTACAAGAAACATCATATGGTTTACAAAATACATGAAAGGTCAATTTCTGCTCCTGCTTGCCCTGTAGGGACATATTTGTTAATTCTGTCACTGATTCTCTTCAGGACTAGCCTCTCGAGGAGTTTATAACAAGAGCTCAGAAGGGAAATAGATCTGTAACTTTCCAACAGATGTTTTGGTTTTCCAGGTTTCAGAACAACAACTATCTTTGCTTTTTTGAATTCCCCAGGGAGTCTTCCTGTTCTCATGATGTCAGTGAGAAACACTGCAAGCCACTTCTTAGTGAATGTGCTGCTGTTGGTCAGGAACTCATTATGGATGCAGTCAATGTCTAGTGCCTTTCTACTCTTGATGTCCTTCAGTGCCTTGGAAATGTCATCAGCACTGAAATCCCTTGACAGCTTGCAGTCTTCAGGGCAGGTGTGTTTCAAAATCTGGGGTTAAGAACATAAGAACATAAGAGACGCCAATGTTGGATCAGGCCAAAGGCCCATCCAGTCCAACACTCTGTGTCACACAGTGGCCAGAAATACCAGTGCCATCAGGAGGTCCAGCAGTGGGGCCAGGACATTAGAAGCCCTCCCACTGTTGACCCCCCCCCCAAGCACCAAGAAGACAGAGCATCACTTGCCCCAGAGCCCCTAGCTATACCTTGTGGCTAATAGCCACTGATGGACCTCTGCTCCATATGCTTATCTAATTCCCTTTTGAAGCCGTCCATGCTTGTAGCACCCACCACTTCCTGTGGCAGTGAATTCCATGTGTTAATCACTCTTTGGGTGAAGAAGTACTTCCTTTTATCCGTTCTAACCCGACCGCTCAGCAATTTCATGAAGTGCCAACGAGTTCTTGTATTGTGAGAAAGGGAGAAAAATACCTCTTTCTCTACCTGTTCTTTCCCATGCATAATCTTGTAAACCTCAATCATGTCACCCCTCAGTCGTTGTTTCTCCAAGCTAAAGAGCCCTAAGCGCTTTAACCTTTCCTCATAGGGAAAGTGTTCCAACCCTTTTATCATTCGAGTTGCCCTTTTCTGCACTTTTCCCAAAGCTATAATATCCTTTTTAAGGTGTGGTGACCAGAACTGCACACAGTATTCCAAATGAGGTCTTACCATTGATTTATATAGGGGCATTATGATATTGGCTGATCTGTTTTCAATACCCTTCCTAATAATCCCCAGCATAGCATTGGCCTTCTTTATTGCAGTCACACACTGTCTTGACATTTTCAGTAAGTTATCTACTACAACTCCAAGATCTCTCTCTTGATCAGTCTCTGCCAGTTCAGACCCTATCAATGTGTATTTATATTTAGGATTTTTGGCTCCAATGTGCATCACCTTGCACTTGGCCACATTGAACCCCATTTGCCATGTTGATGCCCACTTGCCCATCTTTGACAGATCCCTTTGGAGTGCCTCACAATCCTCTCTGGTTTTCACCACCCTGAACAACTTCATATCATCCGCAAATTTAGCCACTTCACTGCTTACTCCCAACTCCCATCAATACATCTCTAATCTCCACCTAACCCTTTCGCTTTAATTTCCATTTGAATATTTTCTCCCACTTCTTCTTAAATACCTCCTCATCTTTCCCTTTTAGTACGTCTGACAGTTTATCCATTTCAGCAATATCGAACCATTTTTGGACCACTTCTAAATTATCTGGAATTTTCTCAGTTTTCCAATACTTGGCATAACATATTCTGGCAGCTGTTATACAGTGTATCAACAGAGTGTTTCCTTCTTTTCCACCTATTTCGGGCATAATATTTAATAAGAAAATTTCAGGTTTCAATGGGATCAACACCTCCATAAATTCTTCTAACAACCTTCTGATCTTCTCCCAATATTCACCTGCTTTTTTACAAGTCCACCACATGTGGAAGTATGTGCCAACATTCTGTCTGCATTTCCAACAGGTATTTGTCAAAACATTAGAATATTTTGCCAACCTCGAAGGGTATAGATACCATCTGTGCACCATTTTGTACACATTTTCTTTAAAAGAAGTTGGCTTAGTAATTTTCAAATTTGTCTCCCATATCTTCAACCACTTATTTGGCTCTATGTCATATTCCAAATCTTTATTCCAGGTTCTTAAACTGGCCCATACCACTCCTTCCTGCATCTTCCCATCCAATAAAACTCCATATATCCTCTTTATCATTTGAACTTCTGTTGTGAGCCACATCTTATCCAGATCTATCGGCTTTTCATAAAACCCAACTTTTTGGTCTTTTTTATATCTTGATTTTAGCTGCATAATTTGTAACCATGACATATCTATATTTAATGCTTTCAGGGTATCTATTGATTTTAAGTTACCCTTATTGTCCAATAAATTATCATAGGAACAGCTATTTCCATGGGTATACAGAGTTGGGATCTCTAAGGCTTCTATAGGGGATACCCATCTGGGTATTTTCTTATAGTATTGCGATTTAACCTCTCTCCAGACCTTTATTAGGGACCCTCTCACATAGTGGCGCTCAAAATATTTCTTTTCTTTGTTATACCAAAGAGTGGCATGCCATCCCATCGGAAGGTCGTAGCCCTCTAGTTTCAAAAGTCTGCTGTTTGAGAGCGTTACCCAGTCCCTTATCCATACCAAGGCAGCAGCCTTATAATACAACTCCCAATCCGACATTGCAAAACCACATATCTCCTTCCTACTCTGCATCAACTTTAGATTAAATCTTGGCTTCTTTGCTTGCCAAATAAATGAGGAGCTAATCTTACCCAATTCTCTAAAGAATTCCTGATTTCTAATGACGGGTATTGTTTGAAAAAGAAACATTAATTTCGGCAAAATAGTCATCTTAATTGGGGCGATTCAACCCAACAATGATAGTTGTAGATCTCTCCAGTCTTCCAAATCTTTCTTACTTCCGAGAGTGTTTTTCTGTAATTATCTTCAAATAAGGAGCTGCATTTATTTGTTAGCCAAATTCCTAAGTATTTAATTCTCTTAGTTATTACAAACCCTGTTTTTTCTTGTATCCCCTTTTCAATTCCCTTGGAACAGTTCTTTGTTAACACTTTAGACTTTTGATAATTTACCTTTAATCCCGCCACCCGACCGTA